TCTTAAGGAAACACATGAAGAGAAGCAATTAGAGTGATCAGATATATGCAAAAGCATATAGAGAGTTAAAATTATAGTTAAAATTAAAGTATAGTGGGGCATACTTTACCAGATTGTATTAAGAAATACTAAAGTTGTGAGTGTATCTTTATGAATAGTGGCAACGGTTAAGCCTTGGGTCTTCAAAACATACTTCTGGAACAAAACAACCCAAGGAAACACACAAACAAAAAACTATTTTAAAATGATTTAATATAATCACCAGATGGAAAGCGATACAAACTCCTACTTAAATAGGAAGAAAGAGTCAGGAAATAACAATTCTCAACCTTTACTTGTTGGCAAGCATTATCCCTGTAAGGTGACTAGTTTTTTGTTTGTTTGTTTATTTGTTTTAATTTACAGATTTTATATCTCAGCGGTACATCTCACAAACCCACATAGTCTTTATGAAATCATATTTTATAGAATGCTTAACAAAATTTAGATGAGAAAAAGCATTTGCATGAAACTCAAACCTATTTTCCAAAATGCATTTTATTCTTTCTCCAAAATAATCCCTTAAGGCAGAATACAAGAGCAGAAGAGACTATAAAAATATAACACAAAAATCTGGATACTCCCAGATACAAGACAGAAGTTAGATTATAAAAGGTACTGCCTACACTTTATTTTTTTAAAAAACTTTGGATTGTTCATTTTACAAAAAGGATGATTTACATTTGTGGTCATCTTTAGTCATTTGTGCTATTTTAGTAAGTACTATCTATATGCAGATTATTCTAAAACAGAAAATTCCCCAAATCCAAAAGATTGGGAAAAAAAGTGGAGTGAAATTAATTTGTATATAAAAGTTTTCTTAGAAGATGCTGTACATCTCCAGTTTCTGCAAAATAATTAAAATATACAGTAACTGGGCTCAAAATCCTTTATTTAATGTATTGGATACTTCTAAAATGTCTACATATTGGTGCCTTTAAAAAATGCATTAAGAGAGTGTAGTTCTACAACACAATTTATTAAATATTTCTAAAACTCACTTAAAATTGAGTACTTATATAATTCATCTTTGTGTTCTTAGGGCAAAACTGTTAGAAATCCCAAAATAGATTTCCTAATTTCAGCTCAGCTGTTTAAGAAGAAACTTTAAAACCAGATTTTAGTATCTTCTTAGTTTCGGTAGTATTTCTGAATACCACTGTAAGATTATGCAGGTAAAATTTGAGGTAAAGTGAAATTTTAGCTGTGAATTGCATTATGATATATGTTTTTGCTTTGTTTTGTTGTTAAGGAAGAATGTGTTCTGTGTCATACAGAAATTTATTAGTGGAACTTTCATTCAATAAAATCCAGTATTGTTTTGGAATTTCATGCAGAGACTAGTGTTCTATCTAGTCTTGCAACTGATGTCTTCTTACCTGGTTATGTTTTATGGAATACTGTTTAAGCAGGTAATTAATTCTCCTTGAACAAAACAAAACTGAACAGTCATATCAAATTGCTATGCTCCAAAGCATAATCTCAAATGGTTTTATACCATGACTGTGTATTACTTGCTATGGAGGTGTTAGGATATGACAGCTTTTTTAAAAAATGAACTGCTGGTTAAACAAAGCAAATATCATATGACCAAGAAGCTGTGATCTGCTAGTGTTTCTTTTTTATCATAGTGTATTGCTAGGCCAAATAATGACACCTTGAATATTTTTACATTTATTGCAGAAACCTAAATTTGGAATTTCCACAAGGTTTTTACCTAGCATTCTATTTCTAGCTTTTGGGTTTTATCTTGCTGTACTGTAAGTTTGTGGGTATTTTTCACATGTACTCTTGGAAATAAGTTCATAGTTTTGTTTATGGGATTTTTTTTCCCCATAACATTACATTTGTATTTTTCTGTGTAAATTTGTGAATTAACATTTATTCCGTGCAAAAAGTGGTACGTGAATGACTAGTTTTCTAAGATGTCCTTTTTATTCTTAATGAAATATAAAATGTAGAGGTCCTCTGTTAAACATCATGAAGTACCGCATATAACTTCTTAAAAGTCAAAATAAGCCAGTTCGCAGTGAATTGGGCCCTTCAATTTACCTCAAGTGACAGAAAGCTTCTTGAATGGGTGGAGGTCACTGAATCCCCCTCCAACTATGCACTTCTCAAGATTAGACTTAATTTAATTTACTGGAAAACTTTTAAGTTTTAAAAGTAAATACACTGTAATAAGGGAAGGATTCTGGGTTTGTTAGTTTGTTTTGTTTTGTTTTAAGTAGTTCATATTCTGAAACTGTGATAAAATTTTGACTGTCAAGCACGCTCAGATTTTGAACATAAATCACTTGCTCTTCTGTGTACCAAAACCCT